TCTTATCAGGCACCATAGTGTTCGGCGAAACCAATGAGCAGCCTGAGCTATATACAGGCATGCAAGTGTTAGCCTAGCAGGCTACAGAGTAGGGGTGTGCAAAATAATCGTTATGACGATGCATCGCGAGTCTAATTTTTGTGATCTACTGCATCGATTCTTGACGCCAAGTATCGATTCTTAATTTTAAAAAATGAACAAATAAAATACATTAATGGTTAGCGCACATCAGGCAAACCAAGTGGAATACAACTTCCAGTCCAGCAGATGTCGCTGCGGATGTGTTGACGCCCGCTGCTTTGTGTCACAAGCATTTCCGGCCGTGAGATACTGTGACGAGTCATTAGTAAACAAAACATGGAGGACACTGAGAAAATTTTCCCGGCTCCATCACATTTCAAGTAAGATGCTTGGATGCATTTAGGCTTTATAAACAAAGAAGGTAAAAACGAAATTGATATGACGCACGTCATTTGCAAAAGGGGAAATATACATTTGAATGTTTTCATTTCATTGGTTTAAAGGACCACTGAGGCCATGTAAATGGCAATGAGTATCCTTATTTTGTTATTTTAAGTTTTATGAATCCTAAGATCTTTTTGTCAGTGTGTCCACACCAGTAATACTAATATTTCTGTCCAGTATTTGTTTTCATGGCAACACCTCCAAAAGTCATTTCAATAAATACAGCTATGTATGAATTCAGTTGCTTTCAGTTATGTATCAATTGAAGACACTATCCAGATCATACACAGCTAGTCAGCCACTGGTAATGGCTGTATCCTTTTCCTACAGTGTTCAGTGAAAATATCGCAACGCATCGCGATGCATCGCGATACCCACCCCTACTACAGAGTGGTGTGTAGTGTTGTGTGAGCTACTGTGTTTCTTGCCGCTAAAGTATGGAGGACAAAGAAAAAGAAATTCAACCACCTCTGCGGCTTTTAAAGCAACCATTTGGAAACACTTTGGATTTTACCTTCAACCCAGCCCCGGTATGAAAGGGCTTGACATGACTCATGCGATTTGCAGAGATTGCAACGGTAAAGTTAAGTATTTCGGGAGTACTTCAAATCCCCCTTCTCATCTCGAAAGACATTACCCAGAGTTGTTGGTAGAATTTACCTTTCGGTATTTACATTATTGCAATAGGTAAATAAAACATTTACAATTATAAAGTCTTTATAAATGCACTCTTCTGTCATACAAGCAGACTGGAATAGATCCAGAGAATCGCTTTGAATCGTAAATTAATAGTTCCTGAATCGTATCGTTTGGATTTAAAAGAATTGGAAAAAAATCAAATTGTGACCCCAACAATCGATTCTAAATCGAATCGTGGGAATCCCAAAGATTCACAGCCATACTTTGCACATCTACAGATTTAGATTTTTGTCCATTTTTTTTTGCCAGATTGATAAGGGTTTCCATGTATCACCACTGTCATTTTACAATTGAAATTTTAAACAGATGCTGAATGAAAACGTAAGTAAACGTTTTCAGAATATGAATACTTATGCCAGACTGGCTTGCTATTCACTATATTGTTTTGTAAAACATAAACTTCAGAAGACAAATGACTTTTTTTTTGTATATATCCACATACTTTTACTGGGCAGCAGTGATTCATATTTCGACATAGCTCTATCTCATTTGTATAAAATGTAACCGGTGGAGAAGAGGACTTATTTTACAAAGGCTTAAAAAGCTGACAAGAGGCATTTTTCATGTTATAATTAATCTTTTATTGTTAGCTGAGGACCAATTGAAAGAGAAGGCGAACTGATGAAAACATGTGCTGATGAAAAAGGACAGTCAGGAAACCTCCACTGCAACCTATATAATAAATGGATTCAAAAGTATGCGACAGAACCAAAAATATCAGAATTTTAGATGAAAACAGAACATTTAATTTAATTGTTTTTGAAGATGAAAGTCTTCTTATGATGTACCAGTGTAAATAGATTGTCTGCATTTAAAGCCAGCATTATAAGTCTAAATGTTTCCAGGCTGGTGCTGATGTTGCAAGGGATGTGGCTTTTGTGAGGAGTCACCAGAATGTTTCAATGGCACCACAAGCTTAGTCATTAATCACACGTTCATACAGTTTTGTGCATACATGACATGAGGGCAGGGCTGCTTTGGAAAGGGGCCGAGCCCTTTACCATTGACTTTTGCCCCAGGAGCCCCAGAGGACTAGAACAAAAAGGTCCTATACATCTATAATTACCAGGTCACTAATCAAATTATTGTGATAGGTAGCAAAAGCACACAGCACAACAGAATTCATTTAGTATCTCTCATCTCTTTTGTATCTGCATTGTGGCATCACTGGGCTCTGGGATAAATAAGTAACCCCCCTTTGTACTCAATTTACTTGAATCCATTCAAATGAAATGTGCGCCTTGTGAGAGCAATGAATTAAACAACAATGAGTGAAGGTAATTTTGAACCTCTGACAACATAGTTGTCACTGCAAGAAAAACTATACAAATGCAAATCATCATCAGAAGCCAGATGGCTATAGTTTGGGGCAAATTCGGTTAGATTCTACAGCATAAGTAATGTGTTGCATTATAATTATATTCCATGCAATAAGGTGAAACATCCCTATGAATGGAAGCCTGGGGTGACATCTGTACGTTCAATACAAAAGGTGACCATTTTGTTACAAGTCCCCCAAGGTCATTTCATCTGAAAACATGTCCCTGTGTGACACGTGACACGGACTGAGTGGGAGCACACATGTGCATGTCATTCATGCAATATACCACAACCCAAAAAGGGATCCACTACTTAACTATAGAGCATTTTAATTAATGCTGTGATGAAAGACTTGGTCTGGCAAGTTTAGTATCGCACATGGAGCCGGGTTGAAAAGGTGGAGAGTAGAGGGAAACTAACTTTATTTGAATAGCTTTAATGTGAATTTTACAGAGTGAAAATTATATGTTAAACTCAGTGGTAGCTTTGCTTTAGGAAATTTGTCATTCCAATACCGATTAGACCATATATTTCACAATAAATGTGACCTGAATATAAAACCGTTCCTATTTTGCTTCATCAAAAGAGATCACTGAGAAAAACAAACCTTCATGGAGGATGATTAATTGTAAATCTGAATTTACTGGCTTCTGTTTTCATACCTTGGGAGGGAGCAAACCGGCTGAATGCACATGTTGGTGGTGAAAGTTAATTTAGGTCGAGTCCTCCGTGCTTAAATTCACCGGCTAGAATACTAAACACCTGTAAACAGTGTAATGACATAGGGAAAATATAATGTAACATGAAATGCATTGACAGGCAGATTTATACCCACCCTTAGTGAAGTTCTGTAAACAATCTCCAGATAAATTAGTCTTATATTGAAGTATCATAATTTCATATTGGGCATTTTAGAAGAATAAACCAAATATGGTACCATAGACTTAGAAGGGAAAGACGCCTCATGCCCATATATAACCGATGGGGATAAGGTGTCTTTCCCTACAATGATTCTTTAACTGATGCAAAATCTTAAGTGTTTGTCACTAAAATATAAATATACAAATTAATCCAGCTAGTGTCTTAAAAGGGTTTGGCACTCTCCATATGTAAACACATATGAAAGGAGGAGATAAAATCCTTTTTTTTTTTCTGTGGGACAAAAAAGGCAAATAATGATGTTCTTTAATATTACATACGTCAATCTGTTAAGGTAAAGGGCTTTTCATGGTTTTGGAGCAAAGCATTAACACTGTAGATACAAAGGTGCGCAGCTTACAATTTAAACAATTCACCTAAGCAATGCAAACAATGTATGGGGGACGATAAATCTCCCACCTGAGCTCTTTATGGTACCTCATGCAAACTCTTCAAATCCATGTTTATCCAGTTTTAAATGCAAGCTAGGTTGTTCTGCATGATCATTAGCACTTGTTCCATACTCTGGAATACCCCTTACATATCTGAAATTGCAGTTTTCCAAAAGTAAATACATTTTACCAAATCCTTTGTCATCCTGTTCACTTTGGATGGTGGTAAGATACAGGTCTAGCTTGGTAGGCTGGGTTTACAGGAAATAGGGCCCTGTGTATAGTTTTATATAGTAGAGTTTTATTTTATTTTATATATTTATATATACTCAAGGGATTGATTTTTTTAATACCTCCAAAACGCAAAGGTTGTAAATTAAAGTTAGATCAATTTTAAAGTAATTCTCAGAAGAATTGTGCGCTGTTAATTTTGTTAAAGGAGAACTCCAGTCACATTCAGAGTACAAACTTCTGAAAGTACTTTAAGTATGAAATTATTACATACTTTTCAATAAATGATAAGCATTTAAAAAAAAAAGAGTAATTTCATTTGAAAGTGCTTTATCGGAGACATCCATGTTTTTAAGAGAGCACTACTGCCACCTATTGGTTTGTGACGTCACAGCGTGGTATCGGCTTTTGAGCAAGTCCCAATGCTGTATCTGGCGTTTGTCACAACGCGCTATTATCCATGTTGGTGACGACCTGTGCACTATGCGAAGCAAAGAATAAAGGATTAATGACGTGTTTCTTATCTGGCAAGGAGTTCAATGGCAAATCCTCCCTCTTTAAATCGGCAATCCAACGATGGATTCCTCCGCGTGGAGGATCATGACTTAAAAAAGGTGAAATAACATTTTTTTCACTTTTACACGATACATTACAACATCCAACTGCCATGCATGTGGGCATTGACAGTTTAACTATAGCTCTTGCGAATTTCAATTGTAAATGGTAAGTCCTCTCGAAATCTTAAATAATTGTTGATTGCAGAGGTGTCTAGTAAATCCGTGTATCATTCGTTCTTTCTATTTTCAATTGCCAATCAAAAAACAAAAAATAAAAAATTGACTGGTTATTTTGTTTTTTATGGTTTGACCAAAAACGAAAAAAGGATTTGTTTTTCATATATCAATTCTAAGCTCAGATCAAGAATACGAAATGGAAAAACGGACAGCAACGCAGAATTTGATTTTAATATTTAATCGGTACAGTTTACGTGACCCGGAAATAGCTCTCTGCGCGGCAGTTGGGGTAATGAAGTGGCTACCATGGCGAAGCTAGAACCACACACTATGTTGATCGAGAAGCTTTTTGCCAGCGGTTTGACACACGCCGAAATTTCAAGCTCATTGCAGCAGATGGGTATCAAGGAATGCTCTAAGATGAGCGTCAGAAGATTCTGTGCTCTCCATGGTCTGAGGAGAAAAGGGTCTGTTTCAGACGCAGAGCTAGATAGCGCTCTGATCCAATCTGTATATGAGGTAAGTTGTCTTTCAGATTTCATTATGATAATCGGCCAGACCTCAACTGTATATTTTAAGTATTATATCTATATAATACACCGACAGTAAATTTGTAATTCTGTGACAGACGGGACCATCATATGGCAGGAAGTTCATGACCGGCTATCTGTCTTCACTGGGGCTGCATGCGGGAGAGGGTCGGGTTGGAAAACACCTAAGACAGCTCCATCAGCCATACCATGAACTCCGACGTCAGGTAATTCTTGTGCTTTAAAAAGTACAGATTTGGTAATGATAGGCCTAACGTTTGAAATTTATAATGCTACTGAGGTCGGGATCAATCGTGCCAGGATCTCCCACCTCTCACTCAAAGTTTTCTTCTTGGAAAAAGGTTGATTACATTGATGACGCTACAGTTCAAAAAGCCTCCTTTAATTTCCCATCTCTTTTTTTAAATAAGGCGTCATTTTAGATTAATAAACGTGCATGTTTCTTCTTATTTTGAAATGTGCGGACTCAGTGAAGCGTGGAGTGATTTCAGCAGATCGTGATGCAAGTTGAGCTATGAGCGGAGTCAAGGAAAGCTGAGGGGCTGCATCCTTCAAAAGGACCCGCTCCTGGGTCCTTCGTCCACTCACCCTTACCTTGGCGTTACTCATGTTGCCTAGCAACCGGGACAGCGAAGCAGCTTAGATGCCAAACACATTGAGCCCCAAGATTAATCTCGTTGTATCCATTTTAAATAACTACACGGTTTTATTTTGCCATTTTATATATGCATTAAATAAAATCAGGCAAATGAAAAAGGCTGCAATATTTGTTTGTTATTTTTGAAGTTGTTATGTATAATTGAGTCGTTCTAAATACATTTTATTAAAATGGTGTTCTAATCTCCCCCTCCCAGGGTGCTCGTAATTTAAATCCTACTCCGTACCATGCTGAATATATGGGCCATAAACTTCATTTAGACCAAAATGAAAAGCTTGGGATGTTTGGAGTTACCCATGTGTTGGCTGTTGATGGCTACAGCAGCAGAATTGTTGCACATTCAACCATGCCCATCAAAAATAACCTTGTGATTTACGAGGATGTATACAGGTGAATAAATTAATAGTATTATTGTCATAGTTGTCTTTCGTATATAACCTTTAAAGCAAGTCATTGAATTACTTAAATTCAATTTAGTGATGCAACATTTTTTATGACAGATCAGCGGTCGTGAACCATGGAATGTGGGATCAAGTTCGGGTTGATCATGGCAAGGAGTTCTACCTGTGTCTTTACATGCAGGAGAGGCTGTCAAGATACAGACACAACCTCAGCAGGCCACCATACCTCCAAACCACATCAACAAGGGTGAGAAGTTATTGAAATTATTCATGGTTCATGCACTGTTCCCTTTAAATATTATTAAACATGATTTAACTCTTCCATAAACCCAGTGGAACTACTGTACATGTGCAATTACCTGTCCATTGTGTCCAGTATGTTTTTATTTTTAATCTTCACATTTTTGTTTGATTTTGTGTTCATCCTTATTTCTAGTTTTGTATAATCTCATCTGTGTCGTGACATGATTTATTGTGTCACACACATACTTAGAATATTAACATGATTCTGATCTTAAAAGAAAAATCCATAACGTGTTGTTACATTTCCTGCTTTTGTATTTACCTTTAACCTAAAAACATCATGGACTTATCAACAGAACCTTCGTGTGGAGAGGTTATGGCCAGAGGTGAACAATCGTGTGAACTACCCACTTAAACGGGCTCTGGTGCACCTGCTGGACCAAGAGGTTTTGAACATGGAGGATAACCTCACTAGGTTCTGCATGTCAAATCTGACATGTCAAGTAAGCCAAATTGGACTTAACAGAGTTGTTCGTTCATGGAACGCACACAAGATACCAGGTATGCTTAACTGATAGTTTTCACGATAGAATTATTGCTTCTTTTTTTCCAATCCAACCATTTTTTTTGGATTACGTTTTAGGTCGTGGAATACCCAATGAACTAGCAGCAGATGGCTGCCTGGCTAAAGTATCCGAGGAGCTGCTGCCATGTGCTTCTGTTGTGGGAAACCTATATGAGCAAGACTTGGGATCCTCACTAACTTGGGAGTCTGTATTTGGAGCTGATCCATTTTCATGTGAAGAAGACAGATGCCATGCTGAGCAGATCTTTGCAGAGAACTACCCTGACATCTCTCTCATTTTTAATCATGTGGTAAACAATGATGATACTCCTTTCCAAGATGCCTTAATCTGCTTAATGAATGTGACAGCGAGATATGTCTGAAAAAATTAAATGTTTTAGTTGTGTTTTCACAGCATGTGGTCTGCTTGATTTGCTGGATAAGCAAAGAATTTAGTTTTTTTACTTAACAATTCTGTAGTTGTTCATATGTTACAAAGCTGCCATAATTTCAGTTAAATAATTTTGGAAAACAATTTCTTTCAACTGTTTTATTCAACCTTTTTAGAATTACAAAAGGTATAGAAAAATACAAAAGCTTAGGATATAATTTGAGGTTGAGCTCAAAACTCAACAAAACAGTAACAGAGTCCTAATTTCTAGGTTTTCCATTTTTACTGTAAAATACAGAAAATATACAATATAAAATAGTGCAAATTTAAGGTACTGTCTTAAAACTGAAACACAGTTTTGGCAAAATAAAATAACAGTTTGAAGTTGCATAAACATTTTTAAACAGTCAAAAGTGCTTTGAGTGAATCATTAAAACATTGCAAGAGATGCAAACACTAAAGATGAACAGCATGAACACAAGTAAATACTGTACAGTTTTACTGGTACAGTATTTTGTCCAGTGCAGCCAGTGCATCAGACAATCCAGTAAGTTTTTGTGCATTTCTACCAAAATCATCTGCTCTGCATTTTGGACAAAATGCAGAATTCTGCTGCCATTGTTCAATGCAGCTCCTGCAGCCAACAATGCTATGGCAACACGAAGACACCATGGGGTCGACCACTGGACCTGCAAATTTGATTCAGAAACATATTTTTTTTAAATTCAGTAACTGCATGTGCTTACATATTTTTTGCATTGAGGGCTATTCTGTTCATGAACCTGGGTACATGAGTTGTACTGACTTCTGTCTGAAGAAGACAAAAGTTTTTATTTACCCTTGCAGATAATACAGGAAAAGGCTTCCTTAACAGCAGCTGCTTCAGCCTCAGTCAAGGACACTGGTGTTCTTCTGTTGGAACTTGCCAGATGTGTCAGCTCCTTAATTGTAGTTGACACCTCCCGAAGACCCTGTGCTGCCAGGACCACCTCTTCAATTGTGTCGTACACTGCCTCTAGACCATTATCATCTCGCCGACTGAAAAGCAGGCAGAATAAAGATGTTATAACCTACTTGGTAATAATAGCAATTATAACCAGCTTTGTATTCATGTTGTCTGATTTATACTTCAAATACACCACTCAAAATATAATAACTCTACCATTGCAACTTCCAATGATCTGTTAAACTAATTCATACCTTTTAATTAAACTTTATACAAGTTAATGTAATCATTGTGATTCTAACTCATGCAAAAGAAATTACAGACTTGAATGGCCTTTGTTGGCAAAAATTCCCACCAAGCTAGGCCATTGATGACTGACAAATCAAGTTTAAATACCTCAGTCTTCTTTTTTTGCTTCCTTGTAACTGCTGCAAATCTCCTTCTTTCACAGCACACACCTTCCTAGCATTTTGTTTCCAAAAAGCGGCTCCTTAAAAGGAAAATAGGTGATTTTGTATTACATAAAATATATCACATTTTCAGAAAAAAAATAATGCAAAAGTGTTTTAGTTAAAATCAGGCAGTTAAACTTGCTCATTTATTTATTAATTCATTTATTTATTAATTTACCTCTGGTTCCTTCTGTATCCAAAATCCGTTTCCCCTGACCATCCGTAAGAATGAAGGAGTCCTCATGTTCAAGGGCATCATTTACTTTATTTGTGATGCCCATGACAGACGCCTCAAATTCCGAGAATCTAACTGTCAGGGTTTTGCTTGTTTCCAACATGCCTTCCACAAGATCAGCAACAAAAATTGTCCTGAAGATTACAATATGTTTAGAATTTAGATAGATAGATAGATAGATAGATAGATAGATAGATAGATAGATAGATAGATAGATAGATAGATAGATAGATAGATAGATAGATAGATAGATAGATAGATAGATAGATAGATAGATAGATAGATAGATAGATAGATAGATAGATAGATAGATAGATAGATAGATAGATAGATAGATACTTATGTGTTAAAGTTTTGTCACCTTTGGTATGTCTTTGTCACTGGTGCTCTTGGAGAAGGCCTTGCAGTTAGAGCTGAACCAGCAGCGACACTAGATGGGCGGCGGAAGGCGAAGGGGACAGGCACACTGGATGGCTCCCCCACAGCATCACTCTCTCCATGCACTTCATAATGCCCCCTTACTCTGAGGTCAATGGTGCTGAAGTGACCATCGTTTCCAGGAAATATGGCAACATTGGTGTCATCAGTAATGTAGACACTGGAGCCATGAACCTTTGCAAAAGTAATGATATATGATTTATACTGAACATTACATCAAATAAATTAACTGAAGTAATTGTCCACAAATGTGCAAATAAATAAAAACGTCAAAATTAGCAAAAGGTAAAACAGCAACCAAACAAAATGAAAAGGAATTTAAACTATGGCAGAGGGAGACTGCATTTGATGTAACTATACCAAAATAAATACCAAAATAAAAGAAGGCTTACGCAGCAAAATATAGGCTATGCTACGTTGTTGCTAGTTAAAATTACAGTGCACAGAAAAGTTTCAAGAAAAAAGTTATACCTGGAAAATCCTGCTGATTTTCTCCGTTGTCATGTCCTCCTCCTTAAGAGTCACACGCTTGGATCCTCGAAATAAAACGTAAGTGTCCATGACTGATAGGTCCGACTGCCTTATCTGGTGCAGCTTGAACGAACGTGGTGGGGGTAAGCCAATTGTTTTTTTAGCTAACGCTCCACCAAACTTCCGGGTCACGTAAACTGTACCGATTAAATATTAAAATCAAATTCTGCGTTGCTGTCCGTTTTTCCATTTCGTATTCTTGATCGGAGCTTAGAATTGAAATATGAAAACCCAATCCTTTTTTCGTTTTTGGTTTAACCATAAAAAACAAAAAACAAAATAACCAGTCAATTTTTTATTTTTTGATTGGCAATTGAAAATAGAAAGAACGAATGATACACGGATTCTAGTAGCTCCCATTGATTTTGCTTATAAAGCGGGGAGAGGCTTAGGCTTACCATATCGTGACATCACTGCCGGAAGATGTCAGGAGTGAGGTGTTACTATATTTGGGCAAAAATGGCCAGCGATCGAGATGAAAAATACTGTTTTTATATTTTTACTGATTAAGGTAAAAGGTATAAATAATGATCCATTTGTTATTCCTTGATGAACAGACTTTTCCTTAGAAACCTACTTTTTAAATGACTCTTTTTTTTTTTTTACCTTTGATAAACGTAACCAAAGTGTTTTAGTCGGATATCTTTAAGAAATAGATAATACTGCTAAGAGAAATAAACAATATAAATTGAGCCATTTGACATTGTTACCTTGGTAAATAAATGTAGCTGGTTTACACCAACACAGAGAACCTCAAAGAATGCCATATGATCATGATTTACACCTGTACCCGATGTAAGGAGCAATAGGCTGACAGTTATTTAAATATTTAGTAAACCAATAACTACCGTTAGTATTAAAATGGTTGGAATTTGCCCAATGACTGCAAAAGCAGCAGTTAAGAGTAAACTGAAAAACTCAGAGGGGCTTTGGCGATATTATCAGGGATTATAACTGAAAGAATCAATAATAATGAGGGCATTTCTGACAGCAATGCTGGAGAAGAGCAAACAGGAGAACTAATAGATGGGACATTGACCTGATAGTTGACCAAGACAAAAGGTTCTCATTGGATGGCTGTCACTTTAAAGAGAGCAATTAGGTTGTGCTGGCGATTACAGAAGCTGCTGAAAAACGAGGAGGTTCATCTCTTAGCAGTCACAAAATGAGATGGGCACAGAGGAATGTCTGCTGTAATGGAATCCATTGTAAGGAAGCCTGAGAGCTTGAGCGTACAATATAATCAGAATACTCTGCTACAGATACTATCATGATGGTATCAGAAATGAGTAACAGATAGCAAAACACAAAACAAAAAAGCCAAGAATAAGATGGTCCAGAAATAATTGTTAAAGAAAGATAAAAGAGTAGGTTAATAAACCATCATCTTGCTAAAGTAGAGGATATGAAAGTCTTCCTGAGCTGAGATGGACTCTACACAACAAGGGGAATATTTGAGGAAGTGAGAACATGTCCAGCTCAGGGAAGACTGCTAACAGCCAGGAAGTGATGCACACGTCTTATCTCAGATAAAAAGAACAGAAAGTACAGATCCTACAGAAAGTCAAAAGCTAATTTATAAAAACAGCAAAGTGATGTATAGTGAAATAGACATTGATAGCAGTAAATTATTGATAAAATTGGTAGCTGTCTTTTAAACATCTCATTTAAAACCTTTGAATCCCCAGAGACTTCTTTAATATTTTACCATTTACTGAAGCAGTATTGAAAAAAAGAGATTTTTTTTCTTTGTAAACAAAAAATCATTATAGTAATAACATCAATTAGATTTTTTTTTCCTCCTAAACAGTTAGAGCACATACAGTATGACTGATGTGACTGTTAGATAATGCGCTCGGTAAATTATATATAATGATGAACTGGATTGCGGCGATTGCAATGCTAGATTCTCCTATACTTACAATCCAATATTTTTTAAATACATTATTAGTATTGTATTTGTATTGCAACAAAATGTGAGACAAAAAAAATACATTTTGTTAATACTGTGCTTAAAATACCATTTTTAGATTTACTAAGAATCCTTTTCTTTTATTTATCATGTGTTCAGAGCTGATTGAACAGGAGCAGTGCATAGTTTAAAATGCTCTCCTAATGAATAAGTTCCTTATAGTAACTCCAGCTTTCTAACAAGGATCAAGAACACATCTATCAGGTTAATTAATCACTCGGATTGTCTGCAGGTGTGAGTGTTTGCTGCTTCCCTGTTAGTCTCTGTGTCAACCCAACTCGACAAGCAGCCTGTCCATGGTGTACCACAGCTTCTGTAGGATCCAATCAACGGTTCCTCGCTATAATTAGTCTATCCGGTATTTGTAACCTAACTTATTTTTATTTTTATGAAAGCAGACAGTGTCCAAATTGCAGCGTCTTTGCTCTACTTGTATCAAAATGATGTGCCTGATGAAGCCATTTTACACACAGACTTAATTTAAGCCGATGGGCTTCGTTAGTCTCAGCACTAAACTTTCATGGTCAAACAATTATCGAGTGCTAAGAGCCAAACCGAGACCTGTACCACACACAATAAACTCCTGATATTAATTAAAGTTGATTGTTCACAGATTTCACTGAGGGATGCCTTTATAATTGACACTTGCTACAACCAGCACATTCAAAAGGTATACTATGTGTTGAAGGACACAGAAGACAAATTAAAGTCAATTAATTTGAAGTAGACTGAAAGACGAGATGGCTGTGCAGATGAGGAAAAAAAGAAAAACACAATCAGCCCTTAAGGTGCTCAGGCTCAGAAAGACGTCCAGACTATGGGGAGACCCAATGTCTGCCAATGTGAGATAAGGGCAGCAAACAGGCTATGGCGTGCTGCCTTGTAAGCGCCGCTTTAGAAAATGGAGCAGAGAAAAGACCAGGGTCAGGCCTGCAGCAGGATCAGTTTTAAGAGAGCTCTACTGCTGAAGAGGCCCTCTGATATGTGGAGAACAAGCTACTTTTGTTCTTTATTTACGTTTTTGTTGGCTAGCCTGGGATGAATTATGGAGCCAGATTTGGTTTGCAAACGGGTTGACGTGAAGGTGGGCCAAGATGTAAGTGAAACCCCTGAAGCTGTATACCCCTTCCCCTGTACAGTACTCTGTAAAAGTAGTTTTGTCCATGAAGAAAAAACCCTGCTAACTTAAAAAAACAGAATCCCTCTCCTGAGCAAGAGCTGAAAGGTAAAACAGGAGAAGGAAGAAAGTATGTAAGAGTTTTCACACAGAAAAAAAACAGCTAGACTAAAATATTAAGGGTTGATTAAGTGCATGGCAAATGGTGTTAAATATTACTCAGTATGTGGATGATTGACAAGTCATTTTTAGTGAACTGCAATACTGAACTTATGTGTTAAAAATAAACAATGATGCAATAATAAATTTGAATAAAAAAATAGAATAATCCCATTGATTAAACACTTAATTAAATTTGCAGCATCTGCTTTAATCAACTACCAATTGTTAATGAATTTACCAGAATCTGAGCCTCTGAGAAGGTTTAAAACCAGTACTATGGTTTGGGTTCATTTCAAAGTCAAGGATTATTTAAATCATTCGGGATACTTTTAAATCCAGCAGTCGGGTTTTTATAAGTTTTCAGTGGGAAAATTCATTATAAGTCACTCAAACTGCCTTGAGAGAAATTTTGTATTTCAGCGTAAGGCCAATATTAATTCGTCCATGCATTTTCTGTGAGAGGCAGGGTACACCCTGGACAGGTTGCCAGTCCAAAGCAAATACTGATTCAATACTTCCAGTATATAAAGTTTAAGCCATGTTTAAATTCTACTTACAAATTTAAGATACAAATACTGACAGAAATGTATGAAATTTTTATGATGGATCAAGTTGATAAGTAGAGGGAGATCGAGACACACAGATGAGTTGATGGATTGAAAAGGGAGACGTAGAACTAATGGACAGAGAGAACTTGAAGGTAGTGAGATGTGAGATAAAGTCTAGAAATACAAATATGTCCCTTTACCCTTCTTTTACCAACTTATCAATACCTGTAAAATACTTTAATTGATTTCCGTTATTTTCCATTTTTAAAAATCCATTCTGATAGCACATTTAACCCAAAGATGTCAAATAGTCATCAAGGGCCGGTGTCCTGTTACTTTTAGATGTTTCTCTTCTTTACCATACCATACACAAATAATCAGGTCATTAGCAGGACTTCGAGGTAATTCAGCCATTCTGCCCTCAGTGATGTGAGTTGGACTTATTATTAACATCTAACATTATGATTATTATTTTTTAGGTTCCTAAATGCTTCCTTATTAGCCAAACATTTTTTGTCAGGAATAACTTCCGCCTTAATACTCTGCCCCATTCATGAATAGCAGGTGCACCAATATTTGGTTGGGTTGCCTCAACATTGATAACAGTAAATACTGATGTTTTCAATGTTTATATCCATTCTGAGATCTAACAGTTTTTTGTAGAGCCAAACTGCCAGGCAAATTCTTCTCTAGCACATCCCAAAGACGCTCACTGTGGTGGCTAATATATATGTGCTAATCCAATCCTTTGTAACACTCTTGCTCGATTTGAGCCTAATAAATTCTGCCATTGTCATCTTGATATATGTCTTTGCCATCAGAGAAGAAGAACTTCACTGATGGGACAAGCTGGCCTCAATTTTAAGGCACTTAATGCTGTTGAACATGAACCTCAACATCTCTAGCTAACCCAGATCCTAGCACTGCCTCCAAGGGCTTGTACTGCAGGCATAATAGACACATTGCATCATGCAACTCATTTCTTACTCTGATGTGCCAATCACTTAGAATGTAGTAAATATGGACCCATCAGACCCAATGAACTCCCAATGCCTCCCCGTCCAATGTTTTTGTTTTCTAGTAAACTGAAGCCCTTTTCCCCCTCATTAACATCACTTATAAAAGGCTTTCTTAGAGCTACACAGTTATTTTGTCATAATCCCTTGAGTACTGTGTATGTGGGAGATGCCTTATTGCCACTATTGAACATAGCTGAGAGTTTAGTTTTTCTATAACATTATTCCATCAAAAAAATAAATATATATATAGATAGATAGATAGTAGACTGTATTTTATGACTGTGTTTAACGGTCCCCCTCTGTTTTTGCCACCATTTCCTGTCAGGCCACTTT